AAACGGCATATGAATGATACTTAGCATTTGTTCACAAACCGCTTTCTTTTGTACTTTTCTTATTTATAAAGGTAATTTTCCATTAACTTTTAAAATGCATTTTCAAAGCTGCTGTCAGAAAAAAAATTGTTTACCTACCTACCGACCCAACTTTAAAATTTAGGGTCGGGTTAGGGGAAACAAAGATATTTTTAATTCCGGCCCCACATTGTTATTATTTATAATGATATTTATATGTATTCTTGTGGCCTCTGACTATGTTAATTGCAAATATGTTACTCATTGACTATGGTTTCTTACATGGCGATATTCCCATGAAACTAGTCACCAAAATGAGATAGGATAAAACGATCCAACATTCGGGACGAATGTTTACATGGAAGGGGGGCTGTGTTACAGATTTTCCCCTTACCAAAACAACCCATGAGTTTGGATCACCCCAATTTATGCCCTAGATATAAAATCTGTATGTTGTAATTTTATTTGTAGATATCATGGGAATATCACCAATAATTTTATGTTATTATTCTGTGCTTCATAATTCATCGTATATGTTTATTTCATGAATATTGTTTGGTTGTATAGTACAAACCCGAATTTCCTCTATTGATTAATCCTATCGTAATGACAAATGGCCACCTGGCATTGTTATTCGACTCATGTAACCCAAAATACACTTGGCATCATCTCCAAAGTAATTCCCAACCAATAATTCATCCTTTTCTAGCGTTTGTAATACTTTTTAGAGCCTTGTTTACTTGGTGCAAAGTTGTTGACAAATGTTGCGCGAATAATGGCGGCACCTAACGTTATTCGCGCGTGGAGTATTTCGCACCTACCAACCAAAAGGTATATAATAAACGCTCCGAGAGAAAATCGCCAGTAGTGCTTGCGCTGCTCAACCAGGCATATGGTGCCTTGTGCCCATCGGACTGGTACTCTACCCATAGGTACATTTTGTACCAATTGTTTGGGTAGGCTGATGCCATTACAAACCCAGTGATTTTGGGTCCCCATCCCTTTCTTTGGGTAAATTCACCATTTTATGGGTAAAACACCCATTTTTGGGGGAAAATACCCATTTTGTGAATAAAACACCCATTTTCCCCAGTTTTGCCACTTTTTGTTGATTTTGGCCATATTTTAGTAAATTCCTGACTTTTTAGCTGTTTTAACTGTTTTTATTGATTTTTAATAAATTCATAGAAAATTGACCATCTTTTCTTATTATTGGGTAAATTTCAGAAATAAGAGACCCACATATAATTTCTGTAACGGGGTAAATCATAGAGTGGTAAGAGAATACAAAGTATTCCAGAACCACCACTATACCCAGAAACGTTACATTGTAAATACTTATACTGCATGTAAATTAATTTACGACGAACATGTTGAAGAATATGATCAATTGCCTGCATATCACAATTAATCATGATTGTATTTTCATGATAATAAAGTGTGTTTTTGCGGCATTTATAATGACTGTGTAATGGGTGAGGTACGTAGTAGTAAGTAAACATGAGAAACATCTCGCACGCGTATAAAAGTTGGTTTACAGTACATGCACGAGGCTTATTAGGGCAGTGACCGTATAAAGCTTTGGTTTATTATGTTACCTTTATTAGGTTAATGCAAGGGTTAGTTGCAAAGTCCTGTCTGAACAGCTGTCAAGCTTGTATTTTCATTTGATGAAATTTTATTTCTGTAATCAGATTACTTGTGTTCTTCTGTACAACCATAGGGGTACATGTATTCAACAAAAATATTTCATTCAACCTAGTAATTTTTAAGCGGTTAGCTTCGCTAGCCGCTATATGGCATGTGTCGGCAACCGGAAACCTCCATAAGGCGCTACCTATCGGCATCGCTTTATCGCTCGTAACCTTATCCTTCTGCAACCAAAACCGGAAACTTCCACAAGGACCTACCTATCGACAACGGTAACTTCAGCAAATGATTTGTATACTGTCGGCGTAATACGCCCCCTGGTTAGAGATTGACAATATGCTGTGAAGTCTGACTAAAGCCAGCCCCTACTATATCACTTCGTACTAACGAAGTATATGCTGTGTATGAAGAGTGACTATTATAACGATTATATTGAATTCTTATTAGTATATTTACCAAAGCATTGACAATACTTACAACACTTACTTTTAAGAACTGAGAATTTGGTCCTTATTACATGTGTATCGCGCGATCGCGATTTCTGGCAATTGTTAGTTTATTTTTGAAAGTTTATTATACAGCAGGTTGAAGGTTATTACAGACTGCAAAAACATCAGCAAATCTCTCGATCGAGTTTGATTTTCCTTGCCAAAGTATTAAGAAACACCATTTATTAAGTTAATACCTGAAAAGCGCTTTTATAAAAACACCGAACGCATCTGTAAGTTTTACACTTTTTGTAACGTTTTATGGAAACAATAGGGTTACCTCCACTATGAAACGTTTGTTTTTCTTCTCTTTTCTTCTCTGTCTAATAAACAGATTATAAAAGCTCTGCTCCCAGGGATAAATTCTCTACTCCGTCTTTGATAATTTATAACAATCGATCATAAGGGATTACTTACCATTAGTTTTGTAAAAAATAATGGAGCACTTAAAGTAGTAAAATCAATTTTGAAATCTAAAAATCAACCGATATTATTTTCACAGAAGAATGAGGTATGAAAAATTTTGGCAATTAGCAAAAATTTAAAATATATACTTAATGCTTATTTATAAGTTTTGAAAATTTGATCAACTCCTAGGGAACGTATTATTAGCTGTGAAAATACTTTTAAAATTTGAATTTGTCCAATTTGTCGATTATTGTTTTAAACGTTTGAGAAGAATAAAATTAAAATACAGGTGTTTAGAGGCACATTGATAGAAAAGAAATCAGTGTATATTGTTTAACCGATATATTGAAGAAAGTGACACTGATAACTTCTTAAGTTACACTGATTTTTAATGTACATTTGAATTTTTAAATACTAGTATTGATTGATTACACAACTTTCCTTTTCATGTTTTATTTGAGAACAATATTGCATGAAGAGTATAATATGATAAAAACACCTTATATGTCCTTATCTAGATATTGTGCCTTATATTGTGCAAGACTTCTTTCCAATGATTCTCATATACCATTTACTTTATTCGAACATTTACTTGTTTGAAAAGTCAATAAAATATATTTCATAAAGCTTGATAATCTTGTTTACTCGCCAGTCTTCCCGTAGAAGTAGTAGTTTATAATATTACTAAAGGGAGTATTCAGTATCTGTATCAAAATACAGAATGATCAATGATCGATTTTAGAAGAAAAGCTGACTCCTGAAAATTCAAGAGGTGGGATCCGTTGCCTAGAAAAAGTAAGCATCCCTCGTTGACAGGTTAATTATATTGCCGCGATGAGCCTACACAACTGAATCTCTCTGATATCAATTCATTTACAAAGTCTCTCCTCAGCCATCCTTTTTTCTCTGACTAGCCAGCTGTAGATCTACACTACTCCAAATCCATTAATCTAAAGAATTTAACTTGTCATTTTTTTAGTTGTTTGTTATAGTAGGCTTTACAATTACCTAATTTCAGATTCAATAGAGAATAAAAGACAATGAAATTTCCAACATCAACATAATTTTTTTTTATCCAGAGAACAATTGGATGCCATCAAGAGAGAATTTTTAAAAATGCACTTCCTGTCTTTCAAACTGAAGAAATCTCATGTTTAAATTTTGAAAAATGCATTTCAATCTTATCAAAATTTATTTAAATGTTCCAAATCCGCTACCGCTTCTGAAACATCTAACATCCCATTCGGGGTCACTTCAGAGCGACCTTTCAATTATGAATACATGAACAAGTAAACACAAACACTTTAGCCATGTAGATTCAAGCCTCGGTAAACAGTTTTCAAATTAATTCCACGGCTACATATCATCATTATTGATACTGTCTTACGTTGAATTAAAGTAATTTCATGTATCTTCTGCAGTCTGGCATCTAAACGTGAATAATGCAAACGAAAAAGCACAAACTATACAAGATACCCCACTCGTCATACATAACACAACTTTTGCAATGCATATCTTTTTACTACAAAAATCCTCGGGTGTTTTGGTTGGGTGGTGAAAACAAGAAACCCATCTGAACTATTAGCCAGGATTTCGGAGGAACCATTTTCTTTGCCCAATCGAAGATTCACTCTTACATGACCCCAAATAGGATGTTGTTAGGTGTTTGAGAAGCAGTAGCGGACTCGGAACATCTAATTTTAATTAGATTGCATCCATCTGTGACATCAGTTTGGAATGTTATTGGTTTTACTATTGAGTAAAGTATTACAAAAACAGAATGTCTGGGTTTTTCTTCTCTGATGACATTGGACAAAGATATGCATACTTAAATATCATCATTTTATGCACTTTTTCGGTACATATTAGATGAAAGCATGCTAACCGCTTTTCAGTACTGTCAGTACTTTGATTTTTAGTCACAGTAATAATCAATCTTATGATATAATAAAGACATAATACGTATCCTTATTTAAATTATCAAATCTTATTTACAAAATGTATTTTTTTATGGCGAGTGAAATATTTGATTATGGCAACAAGAAATTCTAAAATGGCGACCAAAAAAAGTTTTAAGTCGCCATTTTGCGACCTGAGAGCAAGTGTGACTTAGAGCACTGAACTCGCGAAAATTTCTCGCACACGAATAAAAGTTGGTTTACAGTACATGCACGAGGCTTTATTAGGGCAGTGACCAGTTAAAGCTTTGATTTATTAGTTATCTTTATTGTTTCAATGCAAGGGCTAGTTTTTCATGTATCATTCATGTTATGCTTTATCAAATCATTTATTAATTGATTATCATATTAAACCATCTTAAAGATGTGTGTATTGAAGCTCATGTTAAATTAACACCCTTTTAAGCAATATGGGTGTATTTTTTCTCCTTTAATCAATTTAATGTTTTCTAAGATCAGCAGCGTAAAGGTGACTCAGATGAGTATTGTAACTCGTGGGCCTCTTGTTTATGTATTCTTGCAGCTAGAAACCAAATCTGAAATTATTAATGAGTTACAACGCAGTTTGGAGGAGTCAAAGAGACGAAGAGATCGAATATCTGATGAAATCAAACGTCTTAAGGACCAGGTCATGGATCTAGATTTAGAATTGAGGTTGGCTCAATTGAGATAAAACTACAGGTAAGTTTGGCTTCCTCAGAGCCAGGCCATTATCCCATCACAAGGCATTTATTGAACAGTAGTATTGTACATAATCTCCTACTATATAATTATGCCCCCCTCGGTAAACAAAGTTTCAGGGGTATATAGTTTTTGTTGTGCCTGTCCCTCTGTCTTTCTGTCTGGTTGTCTAAAATACTTTAACCTTGCACATAACTTTTGATTTCGTGGAGCTATGAATTTATATATCATCTTTTTATTTCTTGTGATTTACCACCAAATTTGACCTTTTGACCTTGTCCTTGGAGTTTTGACCCACTTTTATACAAAAATTCTAAACTTTAACTTTTGCCATATCTTTTGAACAGTAAATAACAAAACTTTATATATGTTTCTCCTTGAATTATTATATTATTTAAAATATTTTTCCTACGCGGAATACAGTGTATAATCTTCGGCTCGGCTGTCTCATCACCCGAAGGTACCATATGTTTTTCTGATATTTATTCTCCTTGGGAGAAAGAAGAAAACAACATATGAAAAGAAAGTATTCAATTGTCAAATGAAATGCGAGTCCCTTTAGAGGAATTTACAATCTTATTGTTCAAAAAATTGACAAGCTACATGTAAATTAATGTAAATTTCGCTTTATTCCTATTTGAACGATTGCAGAATTAAAACGCCTTATAGACTGCCGATTATCAAAAGAAAATTTTTCAAAAAGTCAACTGAAATGCCAAGGATCAATGCCAAAGTCATTCGAGGAATTCTCACCAACAAGAATTGCACTGGATGGCACTGAAGTAACAAAAGAAGTACCAGCAGATATGAACAGTCAGTCTATAGCGTACAGTAACTATTAGAGAGGCTTCTCCTTCCCCAGAGTGCACACCTTTTCCCGTCAGATGCCAGGAACGTGAACCCTCATTTGTGGAGTGTGACGGGGCCTGCAAGTGCTTCCATTTCTTTATGGATGGAGCAATTGACAAACTGGGAATCTGGAATGAAAATAGTGCTATGGAAGAGTTGCACCAACAAAGACTAAATGACCCGGATGTATTGTTTCTGAGTAACAAAAGAGTATAGAAAAAAGAAATTAATCCAAACAAATGTTCAATTTTCATGAGCATCTCTGATGTCAGTTCCAGAGGAGAACGTGTCATTGGTTGAAATAGAGAATTTACCGGACGCTTACGAAGCAAATGTCCAGTAGATGTGTCTTCATTAAAATCCATGTATTCTGATTTGTACATGCTTATTAGTGATGACAAAAATTACTTTTTAGAAATGTTCTCTAACAATTCTGACGAAAACATGGTTTATTCCGATAGTTCTGTCATAAAGTTTTTGGAAATGAAAATTCTGTTGTATTGAAATGTTTCAAATTGTGTGCTCTGTATAAAACTGATTTGAAAAGTCGCTACACCTGTTGTCACAATTGTATCGGCAGTCCCAGTTGAAACTGAATTACAACTTCCGCCGGACCCAACCTCCAAGACAGCCGTCAAGATCTACAGAGACGTTAATTGAAAATGACAACAAAAGGAGAAAAAAAACGTCAGTCAGCTTTTGATTTATTAATGATTTGAAATGGATTTGTAATTGCCCTGACAACCCCATACTGGTATTTTGTTTTTGCTTTAAAAAATGTGACTTGTATTTTCTAACTTTAAGACACCTTTTTCGGGGTATACTGAGGGATTTCGCTTTTGAGGCTGGTTAGGCTTCAAGATCCAAAATCTTGGTCTTGTCGAGCCGAGTGATTGGTTCGGGAAACGTGGCTTACCATGGCATATTTTAGGGGCTTTCCATAAAAAAGAAACTAGTGTTGAGAGTCTAGGCTTTGTGCACATCTTCCAGAGTCAAATGCCTTAGGACAACCTGACTACTGCAGCCATGATCATTGATGTTATGGAAAATACTCATTCTAATGATGCATTGACTTCCCCTTTTCCATGTCTGGTCAGACAATGCAGGCTACTATAAGTCAACAGGGAGGATGGCCCTACTAAAGTCATATGGCAAGGTCAGGTTCTTCATTCTTCCTCTGTGAAGCACAAAACGGCTAGGGTCCGTATAATAGGTCTGGAGCAACTTTAAAGGTTGCTCTCCGCCGCTTTGTGAACCATGAACATGATGTACCCACAGCATATTCAATGAGAGGTTTAATATCGCAGCAATGGTTTTCACCCATCAAATTTCCCGCGCATAGATGGCGCTCGTGTACTAGAGGTTATACTTTCGGAATACCTCGGACGACTTACTAAAAGAAGCGAAAGTAAATTGCATGAGTTCAGTCTAATCTTTATCCAATTTCTGTTGATATTTGATTCCAATGCCACAATATTGTTGTGTACCGAATTGTACAAACTTTGGAGGCCATAAATTCCCGGAAGACCCCAGTATAAGACAGAAATGGCGCGTGGCCGTAAGAAGAATGGACCCAAAGACAAAACGTTTATGGCAGCCTGGGAAGCACGACGTCGTGTGTTCCTCCCACTTTAAAGACACAGATTACAAGATCACACTATTAGGTTAGAACAGTCACATTTCCTTTTTTCCAATTTTTATAAATATGAACCTATTGTCACTTATCAAACCTATTTAAATGATACTTTATATAGAAATCTTTATTAGCTCAATAGCTGTTGATCAGCTGTTGAACAGTTTTGGCCAGCTAATTTTAACTCTTGTTTACATTAGTATAACCATAATTTGGTATAAATTTGAGGCCTAAGCGGTAATGATATTAATAAATGGGCTATAAAAAATTGATTATATTGTTATTTCGAACCCCAGGTTGTCTTATGTAAACAATGTTGTGCAAATGTGTAATATTGCAGAAGTTTATTTGTTTGTTTATTTTTATGTTCTGTTGCTTTGACTTTGTTTGCTTTGTGGTTTGTATTTATTTTTCAGGACCTCATATTACAGAATTTTGGTGACAATGGGCTGGTTCCAAAGTCAACAAAACAGAGCATATGAAAAGGATAGGTGGTTTTGTACCTATTAAGGCATAGCTAGCCAGGATAAATTAAAATTTGCCCAGATTTTTTACTTTTTTTTCTTGAATTAATGAATTGATATTCAATTATGTATATTCCTTTTCAGTCAAAATTATATACTCATTCAAATCATATTATTTCTTGAAATGGAGAAAAAAGCAACTTAACAAGAGAAAATTGTATAGCTCTTTCATTGTAAAATTACATGCATAACTAAAAAGAATGTAAATATTGTTGAAAACAGAAAGCATTCTGAGCAGCTTTATGTTATTCAGGTGAACGTCCAAGACTGAAGAAGGGAGCAGTGCCTTCCATTTTCCCTTTTGCCCTTTCATTAACAAATGATGAGAGTCCAAGGTGTCAGAGGAAAAGGAAACGAGAAGAAGCTTCAAATGAGCAACACGATTGTACGGAGGTTCTGAATACAATAGAAGTGGTCGATACCCCTGAGATTCAAACCTCTATTACAACTGAGGCAATGGATGAAGGTATACCTGTGCAGGTGAATCAGGGAGTACAGTGTGAGCTGAAAACGTTTGGTAAATTTTCTGTTCTAAACTTTGAAAATGATCCCAAAATGATCAAATATTACACTGGTTTTTGCGATTTTATGCAGTTCATGTTTTTTTTCAATTGTCTTGGACCTTGTGTATTTGAGCTTTTTCGACACACCACTCTTATGGATCCTAAAGATCAGCTTTTTATGGTTCTGATGAAGCTCCGACAGGCCAAAGAAGATATTGAGTTAGCTCTTTTTTTCGGTATTTCTGAGTCCTCCATATCTCGTATCTTCAACACATGGTTAAATTTTATATATTTTCAACTTAAAGAATTAAGCTTATGGCCTTCAAGAGATGTGATTCAACAGTTCATGCCTTCTGATTTTGGAAAGAAATTTCCTAACACGCGAGTCATTCTTGATGCTACAGAACTTCCGATTAACAAGCCATCAAATGTGAATGCCCAGAGTATAACATGGTCTGCATACAAACATAAAAATACATTGAAAACCATGATAGGTTGTACTCCAAGAGGTGCGGTAAGTTTCATATCCAAAGCATATGGAGGATCAGCAAGTGATCGACAGATAATTGAAAATTCTGACCTTCTGAATCCAGACCTGAAAATGTTTGAAAAGGGAGATAGTATTATGGCTGATCGTGGCATAATGGTGCAAGACCTGTTTGCTTCCCAAGACGTGTACGTTAACACCCCAACAATGTTGAAAGGGAAGTCACAACTGGATCCTGAGGAAGTTATCCGTGATAGACGAGTGGCATCAAAGCGAATTCACATTGAGCGTGTTATAGGGCTAAGCAAGGGCTTCAAAATATTGAGGCACCCTCTACCTCAAAGCAAATTGCACCTTGGTTCTAGAATTGTTTATGTTTGCTTTGCAATATCCAATTTCAGGAAATCAATTGTTGATAAAAATGCTTAATTCTGCAGTTTTCTATTCGACTGTCAAGCTTAAGTGAGTTGAAGAATAACAAAACAGTTGTTTTAGTGTCATCCTAAATTTAATTTAACATGGCATGTAAGAATACACTCATATACATGTACTAATTTATCAAAACTTTCTTTACTTATAAACACTCCTATGAATGTATTTGTAACCTTTCATCTTTCAGAGTTTAGCAGATTATCATACTACAGCAAATTAAATACTACATGTGTAATGTAAGAATCATTGGTATCTGTGGTGAAACTAACATGACTATAATTAGACTGTGGATCAGGTAAGTTTATCAACAAGAGGCCCATGGGCCACATTGCTCACTTGATCAAATCAGTATGTAAAAGTTTCAAGATATTAGATCTCAATCTATTAAGGGGGAGGGGGCATGATTTGGACAATTATAAATTTACAATAAATAAGGATGCTTAAATAATATTTCTTTGACTATTAAAGGCTTTGAAAGATAATAAAAGATTATATCCCTATAAGTTTTATCTTAATTAATTAAAACAATAATAATTTAAATGCCAGGTGGTTCTTCAGAAGAGGTCGAGAATGTGAATAATTTACAAACTTACGGACAGACAGACGGATGCCAGACAAAATATCAGAAAAGCTCACACTGGGTTTTAAGCTCAGGCGAGCCAATAGAATTTTCAATCATAGATTATATTACAATTTACCAGGTACTTCTATATTGAAAAGATTATCATGATGTTATCAAAACATGTAATGATATGAGTTTTAAAATTACCTATTAATATAAGTGGATTGCAATGCTCAAAACAAATATTTTTTCTTATTGATGCATAATACTTCAAAGAGTAGATGCAATAAAAGGTCTGAAAAACTTGGTGTAGAATGTTTCTAGCTTTGGAATGAGTGACCCAGTACAATATTCTTCATCATACTTGATTTTCTCAACAAACAAATCTTTGAAAGTGTATACAACAAAGTAACAAACTTTTTTTTGACATATGTGAAGTTGCCCTTGCACTTGATAATAGTAATTGCTTGTTCTTTTTAAGATGATTTCATTTGTTTCATTATACTCCAAAAATCTAAAATGCTTGCCTGGAAGAATCTTTTCATTTCTTCCTGAATATGGACATTTAATTTCAACAAGACAATCATCATACAATAAAGCATCAGGTGTAGCACCTAGAAAAGGTTTAGATGCACAAATGCAGAAACCAACAGATCTTGCTTTGCAGTCATATTTTAACTCAAATGACTTCAATGCCTTTGACTCGTAATTTTTACCGTGTGCCAAAGCACTGTTTTGTAGAGAGTTGTTTACAGACAACAGATTTTGACAAAGTTTGGTGATATTTCTTCTTGAAGTCAACTTGCAGAGTTCTCCAAATCTTGAAGCTGTAAGACGCCAGGATCTATGATGAAACCATAGTTTGCATGATGCTTGTTGTCTTGTTTCTTTTTCAATCTTTGTTATGTCTTCTTCAGTCACCTATTGATTTAAAAAAAAAGCATTACCAATAAATGGATTTTAGATGTACCTTGAAATTTATTTTTCCATCTATGCATATTTATTTCTTTTATCCAATTAAATTTCTGTTTTAATATCTACTACACATTTAGTAATACAGATTATTCTAATAAGTTAATGGAAAGATTTTTAACAGAAAATCAAATTTTAAGCCACATTTTACATTGTATTCTTACTGATAAAGATAAATGATATACATGTGTCACAGGCAGTGAAAAATCAAGTCTCAACCGGGACTCGAACCCAGGCCCTCTGGCATACCGTGCCAGCTCTCTAACCACTGAGCTATTGAGACCCGATGTATTGACTGACTTTCACGCACCTGTGAACCCGGTGACACATTTAATTAGTGTGTTTACAAACCTTGTTTGCTTCATCCACCCAGTACTCTGTAATAGGTATACTAGTATAATGATGATCAACAGCAGCAACCTGAAATAAAAAAAAAAAACAAAAACATGTATATGGGTTATAGAATAAATCTGATTTTATGAGGTGAATACTTGAGAAGATGAATAAATTTTAGAGGTTTATGTGTGTAAATTTTATACATTGCAGTATAAAAATAATGCAAAATAAAATGGCACCTGTATATCGGCCTTTTTAAAGAGATATCTGAGTGCAATATCTTGTGACGTCATAGAGCAGTAATTGATAAGCTGACTCCGAACATAATCTTGGTAACCTGGCATTTTTCTGAATTTTGCTGGCCGTGGATCCTCCAAAGATTCGTCAGACAGTTTTCTCTTTGATGGAATACTTTCTGCCTCCACTGGGACACCTAATTATAAAAATCACCATTTCGAAATATAACTTACATGCATTTCCACTTCATTAACTATACTCGCTACAAAAGCTTACTAACAAGAACCTGTCAAAATTATTTTTGAATTTGATATGATGTATTGTTGAATTTCTTGCAACTAATTTTATTTCTTAACACAATTTTTGGAATTCATTTTAATGAAATTTTGAAAATGTTCTTTTTTTTTTGGCCAATTGCTCTTACCATGGTAAGTTGCCTTTGGTTTGTGGAAAAGCTGCAGATTTTCAGTACAACTTTTATCAACAGCAACATTCCCTGTCTCTGTAAAATGCTGCAGCATGAGCATGACAGCAGCTAGGTGCTTACAGGTCCCATGGGGTCCTTTTCCTGCCGGACACTCGCAGTCACTATTTATGGCATCTCCTGTCCTTTTGTCCATTTTCAGTTTATAGTTATAAGAAACCTAAATGTAATATAACATTTTAAAAGGCTAGTTTCTTAAGATTACAGAATATACAATTGCTTAATTATTTCACTTTGTATACATTCATAAACTCAATTCTTGCATATTGTCACAACTAGACTTCAATATTAGTTTCCTAAAGATACCTTATTTTTCATCGCAGCACCAACAATCCCCGTAAAGAAGATGTCATTTTCTTTCACAACAACAGAGCATGCCTGCACTCTATTCCCTTGGAACATTGCAGAACCCTTGGACACTGCCTTAATGTCTTTCGTAAACTGCTTATCACCTGGAAGTATTTTATAAATTAAAAAATATATATGGGTACTCATACATGGTTTAACAGTTTTTAAATGAAAAAAACTATATTTATAATAAGTTTTCAATCATAATACCTAATTAATAGGTATGTTGTTAATATTAGATTGCAATAACTGATTACAATGCACTCTTTAAAACTTTAAATCTTTATAGTTTTGAATCTGAAGTAGTATTTTATCATACATACCTGCTATTCTGTAAACAAAATATTGGTTTATCTGCTCCGTAGTTATTTTTGGCAGGAAAACTTTATGTTCTTTCTGGAGCTGTTGGTAGCCAGACACTGGCCAGCCCACAGATACAGGGGTAGGGACACTTTCTAGCGGAGGGGGTTGAAAATCTCTGTTTCTGTCATATGCTTTCAATCTACAAAATTTTAGATAAATCGAACACTTTAACCTCTATTTTCGATTTTCATTAATTTCAAGAATAAGAGCAGTTTCAATAAAGTTAGGTACTAAACAGGTGTACAGTTCAGTAATGACCCATATTAAAAATACGGTGCAATAATTTATTGAAAACAACATAGACATCTAGAGTCTATTTGTAATTTTCTTGTGAATAACGAGGCCAGCACCTATGGAGATGGCAAAAAGAGAATTTGTGTTTATTTTTCTAGAAGAAAATGCTCATTTTTTACTACCTCAATTCATTAATTTACGGTGGAATACTAAACGCATTGCGAGTAAGGAGTAAACTATGTTGTTTTGTATGCCTTAACTTCAGCATCATCAATGATATCGATGTCAGAAAAATTGCTTTTATGAAATATATAATACCTTTCAATAAGTTCTGTTTTTCTCCCGCCAACACTTGCACCTTTTGTTGCCAATTCAGCCCTCAATTTAGGAACGCTCCATGTCAAATATGACCGCGACGCCATACTTAGCTCCAGCGCATAACCGATAATACACGAGCGCCACCTACCGTGTAATGACGTGAATGCTTACTATTTACTTATCAGATTATCTATTCTGTCAAAATTCAAAATGTTCATCGATGTGAACTTGTTTTCCCAATAAACTGTCATGGTGCGGTACTTTTTTATGTTCGCCATACATTAATTCAAATAGAAAAACTTTGTCTGAATTCCAACGTCCGAGGGGTGAACAAAAAAATCGCGAACTGTCTCTATATCTACAAAACCGGAAATCAGATGAGAAAAAAAAATTGAACTCACGTAGCTCTACACAAGTATAGAATTGGCGTATGTTGAATAACGTTTTGTTCCTTGTCTATGACGTCATAATGTGAAAAATGACGTCAATCTTTAGATCAATTGTGAAGAAAAAAGGTTGTCTCTGTTCAACAAACGACTGTTAATTTCAGGGTATAACTAAACTTAGAAATTCCTTTAGATGTTGTTTAACGTCCCTCTCGAGAATTTTTCACTCATATGGAGGAAATTCCTTTAGAAGAAGCGTTTAATAATTTGTGCATACTTTATAAAGACAAAAATGACAAAAAATAAATTTAATCAATGATTGGATTGATCAATTTAGAGAAGGATGGCAGATGGTTAATAATGATGATTTTTATGTTGCCCAGTGAAAGCAAGTTTCAAAAGAGATGTTTTTACTTTAGCAAGGACCTCCAATTTACACTTTGAAAAATAAGATATCATTTACTTTAGTCTTCAACATATATCGTATGATAAAAAGGAGGCAGCTCTTCTCTATCCATTTTCGAGTAAACGTCTCCCCCGAGACAAGATTTTGGTTTTGATAATTTTGGAAAGGGTATTTATAACCATCCATTCCGCTGCATTTGATCAGTTTTGAAAAATTAACATACATGGAAAGAAATATAAAGCAAAAAAAATTTCACTTTTTGTAACAGCACGCTAGGGTGGGGATTACCTGATTGCCTATATCACTTGAAGTGATACGAGCAGAACAGTGACAGGTCACAGATGTAGATAAAAATCGGACTAATTAAAAATTTAATAGAACTGAAACCAAATACTTTCTTTTATGTACGTTTTTTCAATTTGTTCGCGAATTTTAACACCACTCGTATAACTTCTATGGAATCAAGAATTATTTTTAATAACACCCAAGAATATGACATCAGCAATCAAGTTAAAGGCGCTTGGTCCGATTCTAATCGCTTAAAATACATATTCGATTTTCTTCTTGAAAAATAATTGTCCATAAATTTTTTCAACTTAAATTTATCGCTAACATTTTTATCTCATGACGAACACACCCGAGCATTTTTTCACAACAAAGTACATTTATTACCTGTACAAGGACAAATTTTAGCTCTTTCAAAAAATAATTTAAAACATCTTATTTTCCTTTATTCTTTAAGTATGCATATTTATATAATAATTACTACGGATTATATTCCATAATTTCTTAATTCTGAAAAGTTGTATTATTACTAGGGCTTCTAATAATAGAGAAAAAAATACTTGGGTTTGATTTACCATCATTATAAGATATATCCGATAAATTTATTCTCTTCAAAATTAACTTCACAACAGATCTTAACTTCCGGCAGGAACTACTGTTTGTCAATAAGGTTTGGATCTGCGTTTTCCATGTAAAAATTGTTGTTATAAACTATTAAATCAATCTTATAATTTATTTTTATATATTATCTATGTAATGACGTACTTTTATTGTGTAAGATAATATGTGCCTGTTTCGGGTTAAGCGGCTTTAAAACTGAAATTACCATAATTTGATATTCTACACGAATGCCCTGTAACATACTTCCAGCTTTCAAGAACCAGAAGTCTCTGTCGAGACTGAAGCTCTACTGGTTAGAACTTATAGCAAAGGAAGAGTAAAGTACTTAAGCAGCTGGGATTTGAAACTTTACAACAGCAATAAATAGAAAAATGATCGTTGATAAAGTCTCTTTATGTTCTTAGAGTAGTCTACTTGTGTGCCAATTTATACTGAAATCAGACCAAAACTGTAGGAAGAGTAGCATTTTGAAACAATTTTACAGACATTTCTATTTTTAGTAACCTCTACAACATCGTAATCAAAATTAAAATTCGATACGCATAATTATGCATCTTAGTGTATTCTACTTGTGTGCCAAGTTTTACTGAAATCAGACCAAAACTGTAGGAGGAGTAGCATTTTGATTGATTGATTGATTATATACTGTTTAACGTCCCTCTCCAGAATATTTCACTGATATGGAGACGTCACCATTGCCGGTGAAGAGCTGCAAATTTAGGCCTATGCTTGGCACTCAGGGCCTTAGAGCAGGGAGGGATTTTTATCGTGCCACACCTGCTGTGACACGGGACCTCGGTTTTTACGGTCTCATCCGAAGGACCACCCCATTTAGTCGCCTTTTACGACAAGCAAGGGGTACTGAGGATCTATTCTGACCCGGATCCCCACGGGGTAGCATTTTGAAAGAATTTTACAAATATTTCTATTTTTAGTAACCACGGCAACATCAGACATCAAAATCAAAAACCAATATACAGAATTATGTATCTTAGTGTAGTCGGCTTGTGTGCCAAGTTATTCTGAAATCACATCAAAACTGTAGGAGGAGTAGCATTTTGACAGAATTTCACAGAAATTTCTATTTTTAGTAACCTCGGCAACATTGTTCATCAAAATCAAAAACCGATATACAGAATTATGTATCTTAGTGTAATCTACTGGTGTGCCAAGTTATACTGAAATCAGACCAAAATTGTAGGAGGAGTAGCATTTTGAAAGAGTTTCACAGAAATTTCTATTTTTAGTAACCACGGCAACACCGTTCATCAAAATTAAAATTCGATAGGCATAATTATGTATCTTAGTGTATCTTTGTTCATTTTGCTGGGTTGTACTGCGCACTAAAAAGGAAAAGAAGGATTATAAGGTTAAGTGGTAGTTTAAAATTTTGGCTTAGAACCTAAGTTGACCCTGTTTTCTTGATTTTTTTCTGTATTTCATTATTTCTTAAGTTAAGATGATGCTGAGAATTATTTTTAACTAATATTCATTATGATAAGTAGAAATTACAATTTGTCATATACATGTGTTCAACAGCAAAAATACAGAGCTTTTTTTTTTCTAACATAAAGTAATTTTTTCTTCATAAAAAGTAATAAGTAAGTAACGAATTGCTTTATACATCTTTGATATTTTGCAGCTTTTGGACTGAATTTACATCCAAGGTAAAGTCAATAAGGTATTTTAAACTACGAGTAAAAAATTTCTTCCTGTTTGTTTCGTATGGAATAAATAAATTATCAAATTCAGTTGAGTGGTATTCTATTGTTCTTTCAATGCCTTTTAAATAACACAAAAACAGACTTAAATGTACATCCCAACAACTGTCTACCCTCAATTCAAAAGGAATAGAGATGGCTGCATCTCAAGAAGAGGGAACGGAGATGACTGCCGCTGAAAAAGAAGGATTTGGGATGGAAACTGTGTCAAGCAGTACGTCATAAGCCAGGGAAGGAGCAAAGACACTTTCTTGGATGTCAGATGGATTTGGAGGCTATATTTCAGTTGCCCTGAAACCACTGATGATGTTTTCTTTGGTGAAGGCTGCAGTCCAGGCTGTTTTATACACCTTTGGCCATGTTGTCTTGTTTATGGCAAGGTCTGGATGCTCAGTCAGCAAGTTGTTACAAGCTTTGAAGAAGGCTCGAGAAAATAGTACAAAAACACATTTATTCAGCGGCTGAAGGTGATGAGATGTATGGTGAGGCATGGCCAGAATTAGGAGTTTTCTCTCACGGCCTCCTGAACATACTGAAGAAGACCCAAGACTTCATGGGAAGAGTGGGAGTCCACATACCGATGTTGGTGAGGAATACCTGTGAAAACCACATTTGTCGTAGGATGTCGCACATTCAGGCCTTTTCCTGGTAGGTCCATAAGGTTCCAGCTGGAGATTTGAGGGCGGAAAAAGTCTCCAGGCACCGTGGTGTCCTTTCACGTTGTACATTGGAGGAAGGACATCACCAAGAGCATTTACACAGGGAAGAATGGTAACGTTCTCTCTGATTTCTTTTCCTCCCTGGAATGGACCTGGCACCCTTCCTGGCAACAACAGAGGTTAGGCGATGCTCAAACTGCTTTCCAGTCTCATCCAAATTCCATATCATGTCTGGAGTAAGGTAGTTGTTGGTCCTTTGTGAAATATTTAAAGCTAGAGCGAACATCGCTATCCAGCTTCTAAAAGTTTTCGTCGATTTCCTGAAAAGCTGGTTCAACGACATAGGGAGCTCCGTGGACCTCTGTCTTGAGTATTTAGTCCGTGATTTTATTCCATTTCTAAAATATATAAATAAACAATTAAAAGTTTTTACATTAAAGGCATAACCGATGATATGACATGATAATGAATTTCAATAATGTATTAATGTTTTAGTCACTTAACTAAATTGCTATCCGTTTGCCGTTATTTTGAAAACATGAGGCCTAGAGTGGTTTCTGATGGTGTTGATATGGGAGTGAACCACTCTGTGATGTTTAAAACATCTCTTGTCCGAATACTGGTTGGGTTCGGTGAGAAGTATCTTTCAAAATCAGTCATCCGTTTCTTCAGGGTCGACGCTGCATGGCTACCTAGCCAGTGACTAAACCTTTTAAAGAGCAATACATAATTTTAATCAAGTTAATTGAATAAAAACTACATATTAGAAATGTGGGATTAAAGCCACGCCAATTTAATTTATTGTATATTATACAATTGACGATTGATAAACTGAGTAAAGTACCCCAGATTATGTTATATCGTATAATATAAGTTGAAACAAGCAAATTCAAAGAATTGTGGTCCCCCGCTTTCGACGTCTTTGTGGGTGAGATGTTATTTTTCATGACATTTTGTGTGTAATATGAACATCCTATCATTTATTTAGAAAGTAACTTTGAAGTTGATTTTTTTTAAGAAACAAGTTTTTGTTAAGTACTCCAAGAGCAAA